GACTAATATTGACATATGTCCATTATTACTGTCAATTGTAATAAAATAAAAAGAAATATGTCTACAGATTAATAACTAACCTTATTTTTTTTATTTAATTCGTTATAATAATGAACTTAACACAAGTGATGTTATCGATAGATTATTCTTAATAAGAGAACTTGAATTATTATAAATATACACAACTGAACTTCCATATTCTTCCCAGCTAGAGTAAATCAAACATATTATTAATATGATTTATTCTGACAGGTTGATTGCCAGAGTAACATAAAACAATTTCATTAGTTCAACTGATTAATTACTCCAAGGAGGGTACGAAAATACGCCAATTGATTTATATGAATGAACGAATAAGATTAATGTTTTTATTGATTGATTTATCGAGTAAAATGAATAGCGTATTTTGTTTTAAACAAAATAACTTGTCTTCATACTTTTAAGGTATTTGAGTATACTATCATTATAAATAATTTCACTGCGTGAATCAAGCTTCTTTCGTTCTATTTATATATACCATCAGATACAAGGATGTAAAATATAAATGAAAAGCACAGAAGCGTGACTATTTCTATATATACCGTTGATATTTTTATATTAAAAGTAGATAAATTATCTTACTGATGTCTTCATCAATATCATTCCCATTATCTAATAAAATAAAATCAACTGAAGAGTTGAATGTAATCGATGAAAGAAATGAAGAATCAACGAAAAAACATTTTAATATAAATGACGTTTTAAAATTAAATTGGAAAAAATTTCAGGGTGAAATACGAGATTTATTTACATTTCATCCAAAAGAATGGATTAATGCATTTCGTCGAAATCGACAATATCCATTATTTGTTCTTGGTGATATTGATGGTTTTGTTGGTTTATTTATGAATAATTTAGCAACATTATTAGCTGTTATTCTTGGTCTTAAACTTGTATTTGAATCAGATATTATCTTTGGAAAAATCATTCCCGGGTAAAAACGAAACAACTATTTAGAAGAAAAAAAAATTAAAATTCTTTTTTAGAGTCGCAATATCGATGTTATGGGGAAATTTTTATTATGTATATATGGCACGTAAATTAGCCTATAAAGAAAATCGTAGTGATGTATGCACTATGCCCTATGGAATAAACACACCTGGAGCATGTAAGATTAGTAATATTTATATATATGTATGTGTATTATTTATTGTTTATTCTTAGTTGTTTTTATATATAGTATAATAATGCCAACTTATTTTAGTTGTTTAAATAAAAATGATGGACGTGATAGGCGTTCATGTGAAGAATTAGCATGGTATGTGGCAGTTGCAAGTAATTTTGTAACGGCAATTATTCTTTTGGTTTTATGTATTTTTGGAGAATTTATTCGAAAAAATACACCTGCTGTTGCATTACTTTCATCAATATCTGGTATTGGTTTTACGTATTTAGCATTAAATGAATACTTACCTGTAGCTGCAACTCCTATTGTTGCTTTTCTTCCATTTACTATTGTTATGCTTGGTTATTTTGGTGATAGTTAGTAAATCATAAAAATAAATAAAATTTTGTTTGATATAAATTGTTATGTTCTTTAGTTAAATTTGGATCAATTCCAGTTGCTTTTGTTGCTCTTGTTGTGGGTACTATACTTGCTTGGGCAACATCATTAAATCATGGTTCAGATGTGCGTAATGCTGCATTAATTGTTAAACCATATCCACTTGTATTTCCTATAAAAGAAATATTTTCAAATCTAAATGAAATAACTCCATATTTATCTACAACAATTCCAACTGCTATATCAATAGCGATTGGTACAATACAATGTGTTGAATGTGCAAGACGAGCTGGAGATTTTTATCCAACAAGAGAAGCTATGTTTGCTGATGGTATTGGAACATTAATTGCAAGTCTATTTGGATCTATTCTTGGAATGACAAGTAAGAATATTAGATCTTTTAAAAACAATGAATATATTATTTTTATTTAGCATTTATTGGTCATCCTGCTTTCAAAAAGATGGGTGCTAAACAAGGTTATTCTCTAGCTAATGGTCTTGCATTTTTACCTTTATGTTTTTTTGGTATAAATGCACTTCTAGTGTCAATCATTGCTATTGTTTCTGTCAATCCAATTATTGTAAATATAAATTATATATTTCTTTTTTTCGTTCTTCTTAAATATGTAACTTTAGATATTTATTGGTCTTGTTATTTGTGCTGATACACTTTCAATAACACCTCGACGTCATTATCCAGCATTTCTATTTGGTTTAATGCCAATTATTGCTGATTGGACACAAGGCACAATAATAAGTGGTGTTAATGATGCTTATAAAAATTTTATACAAAATCATACTGATTTTAATCAAAACATTAGTTCACATATAACAGGTTTTTCATATCATGGTCTTTTAAATTTTTCTGGTGGTAGTCTTCTTCAATGTATATTTTTAACAGCTATATTTATGTATATAATTGATCGAAAATTTCTTCGAGCAATGTTTTGGTCATTATTAGCAGCATTATTTGCTTTATTTGGTTTAATTAATGCATCCAGTGTTGGATTTTTAATACATAAAAATGATGATGGATGGAAATTTAGTGTAGGTTATGGTATGATGGCTATTTTATTTGTTTGTTTTGAATTTGCACAACGACGACAATGGATAAAACAACCGGAAACAGAACCAGATGAAATATCATTAAATGAACAATCAAACGAGGAGGATACAAATGAAACTCATGTTTGATCGAAGAATGAAAAAGAATTTTTTTTCTTTCTTTTTATTCAAATAATTGAAAAGGTTTCTTATGCATTTGTGTAATTGATGTTGCTATATATGAATTTTTTTTTTCACCTTCAATAAGATTTTTTCTCCGGAGGGAATATTGACACAAACATTCTTTTTATTCGTATTCTTTAATGAAAAGTCTAATAATTTTATGATTGTAGTAGTTTTTTTTCTTGACTTTTCTCTTAACTGTGTAACTTCTCAATTTGTCTTTTATATATATAATTAATGATGAGAACAAGTCGAATTACACCTGATTATTATTATAAACCAAAAGAATTTCTCAATAGAAATAATACTAATAATAATTCATATGTTATACCAAATAAAACAGGTCATATTACAAATCGTTCAAAATATGGACAATATAATATAACTGAAAAAGATTTTGGTGATCATAAAATTTCTTATTATATACCATCGGAATATGAAAATAATTATGATATATCACAACTTGACGAAAATCCGATTTCTAATCAAACACAAAGAATTGATTCACCTATATTAGTCCGACGAAGATATTATCGACATTATGATAATAATAATAATAATAATAATAATAATGATGATTATTCAAATAAAGAATTACCAATAATATCATCTCGTCAAAATATTCATATACGTTCAGAACAACCAAAAATAATTAAAAGAGTCTATTTTAAAATACCACCATCACCAAAAACAATTCAACATATTTATGAAGATGAACATCAACTAAGCAATGAAGATATTATTGAATATGTTGTACCACAACAACAAGTAGGATAACAAAATAAAATATTTATTTGACAAATCTTTGCTTTAGTATGTCGAAGAATCACAACCAATTCATCATCCTGTGTATATAGAAAATCTACCTTCAATTTCTCGTTCTCCTCCTGTTCCTCCTCGTCAACACTTGCCTCAAGTATCACCTACATTATCACGACCACCAGTTAAACCATCTCATGTCAGTGAATTTGCTACACCAAATTATCCAAGAATAACTCCTCGAACAACAATCAATGAAATATCACCTAGATCACTGCCTCCAATTCATAATAAACAAAAACATATAAGTTTAAAAGAAGTTTTAGCACAAAATCGTGCGAGACGTGGTTCACGTATACCTATACCACGACGTGAAATTGATGAAGAAGTAGCATATGATCTTCCAATATATAATAAGAATTATGTTAAGAATGGTTTTATTGTACATAAATAAGATAGAATGATTATTGTAAATCATGTAAATCAAAATGGTAGTATTGAGAAAATAAAAAAAAACACGAGATATTTTTTTTAATTAATCAGTTTTATTTACATTGACACACTTAAAGGACTTGAAATTTTTAATGGTTTCTCTTCATGAATACTTGAAAGTCTATATATAAAAAAAACGATATTATTAATGAAAATATAAAATAACAAACTTTGCAGGAATCCATGGAGGACAATAAGGAAATGGCCATGGTTTTTGTGTTGAAAGATATGAACGTACTAAAAATAAAATTTAGATTATAGATGATTAATAATAGAAAAAACAAACGATATTCATTTTTATTATTTATTTGACAAGTACAATTTAATCTAAAAATAAAAAGACATTTTTTTCTTTTATAATTATTATTACTACATTAGTAATTACCTTCTTTTTAAACTTTCATTGATTAATTTCGATGCATTCAAATCATTTTTTAATTGACGATTCTATAAATAAAATTCGAATCTTATTTTCTTTAAGAAAAAAGAAATTGTTTTTACTAAATGTTCTAATGTATAAATTCTTTGCTGATCAATTAATGATCTTTGTTGTTCATTTTCAATATTAATTAAACGTTCTTCGATATCATTTTTATACATTCTATAATCTAATTTTTTTCCGATTTATTTCTTTATTTAACAAAAAATCTTACGATGATGAAAGAATTTGTTTTAATTGATAATATTCTTGATCAAGTACATCTGTAGTTAAATGTATCTTATTTAATTTTTCTCTTGTTAATTGACATTGATTACGTAAAATTATTATATGATACGATTTTAAATATTGTAAAAAGATCAATGATAATGAGATAAGCATTAGAAAAATGATAAACAAATTTGAAATACTGATTGTTTCAAACATGTCATGAAAAAAAGACTTGCGCGTAAATTATTGAAGAACGATAACTAGACAATAATCAATGCCACGAGTACATAATGTGAACATTATCTATACAATAATATAAAGACAGAACAGAAGTCCTCTGTTTAAAAAAAGAACTTGTATGTGAATGACAAAATTTGACTGAAAAATATGCAAAACAACTATTCAATAGAATAATGTGAAGCAATTTGTAAAACGAAATTCTCAAGTGACTTGCCGCCAAAATCTTGTTGCCACATGACCTCTTTTAAATAAGATATTAATAATGTCCGGGCAAATCTTGAGTTTTTTTAGAATTTCAGAAAAAAAATTTACTTTTTTAAGTTAAAGCAAATCAAGTGTTTAGAGATCTTGACGCTAAAACTAGTGATATATTTCTGTTGCTTCCTATCAACGGGTATTTACGCATTGACAAAATATAACTGTGAATATTTATAAGCATACAAGATTGAGTAAGTTTTAAGAGAAAAACAAAAACCTGAAGATTAAATATTCTAATCTA